ATTGCAGAAATTGGTGCTCATAACTACTGGCAGCTTGTGGAACGGATGAGAGTCGCGTGGATCGGAGCTGACATGGGCGATTGCTCAGCCGTGTGGCAGTGACAGCTTAAGGGAGTTTGGTTGGGAAAAACTTCCATAAAATCTAGATTTCATGACGTAGCTTCTACACGCCGATTTCTGCGAATACAACCCTAAAGTCGGCTTCCTACCAAGTGGCACAGTTGCCACAATTTTATCTAATTGTATTTAGTTATTTTTCTGCTCTTAATTGTCCCGCGGCGCGGCACATCTTGCACTGATCTCATGAAAAATATTGGGTTCGGCCCCCCCCCCAGCGTATTATTGTATTGCCACACCTAAATAATAGACTTTGGCGTTCATGGCACCTACACAGTCAGCATGACGGGCGGCCCTCGAATTTATACAAGACTGGATGAAACTTGTAAACAACATCCAATGGTTGCTGTCTCCTGCCTTAACCTGCCTGCCTGACACGTTCTAGTGACAAAGGGCATGCTGTTGGAAGCCAGAAGCACCTGAGTTGACGTTTAGAGCGACTGGGGTGCCCCAGTGCTGAATAGTTTCTGCACATCTGGCTTAGCAAGGTGTCTGGGCAAATCGTCCGTAATCAAGGTGATTTGTAGCCTGATATGAATACGTATTTTAGGGCAACATGGAGCAACGTGAACAAGTGTATAAAGTATGTTTTTTAGCTCCACTTACCCTGTGATGAGGGGTTCAAGGAGAAATGTGTGAACGCTGTCACAAAGTTTGGTCGTAACGAGTGGGGATGAATGGTGTCGCGCCAATATATATATATATATATATATATATATATATATATATATATATATATATACCCGTTATCCAATGACTGCAATGTTTAGCTGTTCTATGCGCATCGCACGTGTGCTGTTCCATGTGTAGCTGGTTGGGAATGACTAAAATAAACTGACACTTTGCAGCGATCAAACCCAGGACCTTCGCCTTAAAATTGACTGTGCATATGGCCCGCTCACTTGTCTCTAAGTACAGCATGTACTCTTTTCACGTTTGGCGTCCAGATCGCGTGTTGTGCGGAACTGGATGAATGGCTTTGATAGCATGTGCAAACCAGGGCTGGCTGCTGGTTCCTAGGCTGTCGTGGTTTTTGGCCGCGGCCGCCCAGTTGCGTAGTCCCAGCTCAGCGGATGAGGCTGTGCACGGCCTTATCCGTTGGGGCAGCCTAACATCGGATTGGGTCTTTTCGTGCTTTACAATGCTGCGAGATGGCTGATCCATTCCGGTTTGTCCCTCTACTCAAATGCCAGTTGATCATTGCTACTATGTTCCAAACAGGGGCGGATCTAGCCTGGAGTTTTTTTTTGGGGGGGGGGGGGCGGGCAACGGTTCGTCGCCAGTTGGCTGGTGTGGGATCCGAGGTCCAGTGCATGGTGCCTCTCGCGAGTCCTAGTAGAGACACCATTCAAAACCGAAAAAGCACCGAAATGCTTTTGAATAAACAGAAGTTGAAACAAAACAGCTAAAACAGTTAAAGTTAAAACAGACGGCAAGTAGACGAAACTTTTATGAAGTTCTGTGAATGTTTTTTTAGGGGGAGCCAAAACATACTTTCAGAGATTTGGAGGGGGGCCATGGCCCCGTGCCCCTCCCCCGCCCCCAGGATCCGCCTATGGTTCCAAACGCTGTTTTCGGGTTGGAACCGCCGTTTCCCGGGATTCGAGACTGTCAGCTGATTGAAACAGCATAGTCATAACAGACTTTGGAAGCCAAAGCTGCTGCTGTTGCTAAAAATTATTTACCGGACAGTCCGTCGACTTATACGCGTTTATCCTTACGTCACAAGGCAGCCTTAAATTACTAGCTCAACCCAGTTAGCATACACCAAACCCAAAAATACTGGTGCAGGCAGAACCTGGACTAGTCCGTACTTGTTGTTTCCTGACAGGCTCCCATTTTCCGCCGCCTGTAATTCGGAGAGCACGGAGCACTGTGCCGGGTACCGACGGACAATAGAGCGAATAGGCGCAGTCCAATATTTTTGGCCATTATGTGAACTTTTTTCCAAGCAATGAGCATCTTCTTATAATGTTTAAATCTTGGGATTAGAAAACTAGCTCATTCGCTGCAAATGATAAATGGTTTAAAATGGCGGTACGTAATGATTTTGCAATACCTTGCAAATGTGCACAGTGCCAGAGTTAATTTTCTGGTCAATGATGGATTCCAATCACAACACACACTTAGTCTAGGTTTTTACATCATTTTGACACACCATAGTTTATATGACTTTCTGCTTACCGTTGTGAAAAAGTTGCTGCCGACCGTAGTCCCCTAACAACACAACACGAAAATACCGGAAGTTGTAACCACGAAATCGCTTAACTGAGGGGCCTGAAAATAACACAAGCGTCTTCAGCGCCGCTGACAACACCTGCATTCTATTTTTTTTCAAAATCCGAGAGATGAGGGTGTAAACTTGACTCTTCAACCTGTCAATTTGTCGTGGAATGCCGAACTGTCCAACCGCGGAGTCATTATGTATACTGACGCCAGCCCGTGCTAGATCGAGCGAAGGCAGATGACTAAAATTTCAATGCTCACCAGACTAGAATTAAGCATGCTTTGGCCACATGAAGAGCTGGTTCCACTCCAGCTCTCAAAATATATCCCCGAAAGCTGCCCTCATTTTTATGCGAAGTATGCAAAATATAAAAAGCGAAGAACCCGTCTATCGCCAATCCCGGTATGCTTCCCTCTCGCTCGGTCCGGCTGCACGGTATCGTCATCGACCGCGTTCTGCTCTAGGATTCGCACATCAGTCAAGAAATGAAGAAGCGCAGTGGACTTCTGATACCCCGTTTTCGCCTTCGGCATCCCATCGCTGATGACATTTTTTAAACTTCTATCGAAACCCACGTATTCCCCTACGTCCTGTTTTGTCTTTCAGGGGAGACGCCGCCAAAAATCAACTGGACAGGATCCAGAAAATTATGAATTTTCCCGCCAGGGCTGTGATAGGGCGCGGCGTCGGGACAGGATTGGTACGGCACCTATTGCCGTGATTGGTACGGCACTCCCGGCTCTGACATCGGACCGAATAGAGCTACAAGGAGCATATGAGGATATTTAGTCGGTGCTTACGGAAAATACATCTGCTGAGTCGTCATTTATTGGGGCTTCAAAGCTCAGCCACCGCCACCAGAGCTTCCACTTCCATCAACCGTCCGCCTGCGCTAGAGGGAGCGGCTGAAGTCGCCCCTTCAGCCAAAATGACGTCATATCGGGCTCAACACGCCCGAAAAGTGTGATCACGACTCCGATATGCGAGTCCAACCCTCGTCGCCCGCTGCTCGTCGGTGGAGGTCTGGTCCAGTACGCCAAGGCTATGGCGGCGGCCGCGCAGCAGAATGCTCTGATTGATGAGACCGGGATTTGGACCGGATTACCCGCCGCCGACAATGAGGTGCCCGATAGACGCAATTATGTGGTCGTGGAACGCCAAAGAAGGCGCAAAATGCGCACCAAGAACCAAATGATAGTCTCTTTTCATCTGGTTTAGCTTCATTTGGTTTATCCAGGCGAAGCATTTACGATGCCTTGCATAGTTCAATCACCATTTTTGATGCAATTTATTACAAAGTTGACCGCTGCAACGGTAGACAGGGGCCTAGCTCTGTTTTTTTTTTAACATTTACTGTTGCAGGGCAAAGTTTGAAAGTCTGAGAGTTTGCCAGGCAAACTGTCAGAATTTGCAGTGGGTGCTGGCGGTCCATATTAATATATTGTTAAGTACGTGCCAATAATGGCCGTGATGCATTCTGTGTCGTCAGTAATCCACGAGCCAGTTAGCAAGTCAGTAATGCATTAGTCAGTCGGAAGTCTGTCGTACCCGTCAGCGCATTCAAGGCATTGCAAGATTAATTTTAAGCAGCTTGCCCAAAACCACCTTCTGTTCCGATGGCTCAGTTCGTTTTAGCGCCGGCCTTCCGTCCAACCGCCCATGACAGTGTGGGTTCGAGTCACTTTAGGTGATCGGAAAATGCATGATTAGGAGCCCAGCGGATAGAGATGTGCCGATGATCTGATGTGCCGATGACTACCCTTTGATCTGGTGAGTGACATCAGAACATAATGACTGAAGGCGCGAGCATATCCGGTATTGAACAACATCGCCATTGCGTGGGGGGTGAGAGAGCAGCGAATTGTCATAGATCGTAACCGGCGTACAGTTGCAAATGACGGCACCGTGACACTGATACCATTTGTCAGCTTAGGCTACTCGCCGACCGTGCATACCTACACACCGCTATCGACAAGACCGTGCATACCTTCGCACCGCTGTTCACAAGACCGTGCATACCTACACACCGCTATCCACAAGACCGTGCATACCTTCGCCCCGCTGTTCACAAGACCGTGCATACCTACACACCGCTATCCACAAGACCGTGCATACCTTCGCACCGCTGTTCACAAGACCGTGCATACCTACACACCGCCATCCACAAGACCGTGCATACCTTCGCACCGCTGTTCACAAGACCGCGCATACCTGCACACCGCTATTCAGCGACTTTATGCAACAACATTCAGTCTGCTCCACTTTCGATAACACGTAGTGCATCTGGCCCCAGCATCGTCACCGGTCGGCTATAACCAATCCTGCAGTTACAAGACGACTGGGGAAGCATACAGTTTTGTGCCAAAACAAAAACAAAACTTTCATTGTCGTATTTATTGACCTGTTACCTAATACGCGTTTGTTACCAGCGAACAAAAGGCATCCGTCCATAGCTTTAGTTGTTTCCATTTGCTCTTGCTCGCCCAAGTTTGCGTCCTAGGCTTTTCTGTACCAGGTGCTGCTTGGTACGAATAACGGACATCCGGTGTACACAACATGTTGTGGAATAAATCGCCGAAAACCGTCCTAGGTGGAATAGATTAACTTTTGGTTCATTACGCACTCGGAACGCACGTAGAGTGAGAAAGATGATCGTCCAGGATACACCTGGACGATCGACATTTGTGGGCAAGGCTACTGGCCCTGGAGATGAAGCTTGGTTTCTGCAGGCAGGCTCCCCAAACCTTTGTCTCCCTGCATCGTTTGGCACAGATCAAATGAGTCGCCAAAAACACTACAAGATATCCCCCAACAGTTCCTAGCGAGCTGTTGCTTCCAAGATCACAGAACACTGGGCACCCCGAAAGGTTTGCCTAATATTTAAGTGTACAAATATACCAGAATGAGCCAGATTGAGTCCATACACCAAAATGAGCCCGGATTGGGATGTTACACCAACAGTTGGCAGTGCTGCGCTAGCGGGAACTTTGGTGTGGCTGCAACGATCGAGTGTAACCGCGCTCATCAGTCGCGGGCCGCTCAAAGTCCGGTGTAGTGGGCTCAAGGGTTCCAGTTTCGAAATAATTTCACACTTGTGTAGGTATTGCTGAAACGTCTCGGTACCCACTCACATTTTGCCCAAGTTTCCTTATTCTGATTTATTTGAAACATTCTGCAGCATAACTGATCGCATTATGACTCAGTTAAAATGGCGTGTGTCAGTTGTGAACAGTGTAGTGTAAGCCACCGGCCGGTGAATACTGCGTAATAGTGGCTGGTCGAGGTGAACTCACGTGTATCCATGCCGGACTTGATAATGTCGTCGTTTTTTAAGTACAGGGTTACCAAATGGTTGTGTAAAGTATATTTGAATATACAACATACGAAAGCCTAGCCTTACGCCTATATCTTCGGAGTTGTTGCCGTCCGCAAAATAGGTCAAGCGGCAATCAAATTAATTCAGCACTGTTGCACCATCACTTTAGGTCCCTTCTCATAATGTTCCATTTGGCCAATCTTGGAAAGAGTTGTTCAGCCCATTTGCGAGAAACGTTATCCACATGGGTAAGACAGTAGGGATAGCATTATTCCTCGGAAAAGACCTCGGAGGAATAACGCTATTGGTACTGTCTTGACATGGGGAAAAGATATGTTTTCGGATATATTTAGCATTTGAAAGCGAGTTTCCAACCATATAACAAAAATTAAGGGTAGCGCAAGATAGCCTGTGGCTTTTATCGCCGGATGAATATAGTAGTCTACTTGAAAATGTGTGTCCGCTTTTTCGATTTTGAAAGTTGTGCACTATGTTGTGCACTATTAAGGACATAATTAAACCCTCCCAGCCGCCAAAACGCACTGGACACGCCAACCTAAGCCTGGCGGTTGGTTGGGCGTAGCCATACGACTCACTCACAACATTGTTAGTAATGATCGACTCACGACTCAGCTCATGAAATTTACGAAGAGTTTGATTCGGCTCATGCCTTAAAGCGAAATTTGTGGTGAATCAATTCAGCTGATGACCCATCCCAAAACAACTGACTCATGTGTCGAATTATGATTCAGCTCTAGTCGAACACAAGCGTGAACCCACCCCCATTTTTTATCGTTTCTGGGCTCGCTTCTCACATAATTTTCAGATGATGTTCACTGCACAGAACTTGAGGCATTCCAGTGCAGGCTTCCATATTCCGGAAGACATAAGCTTTCCTACTCGCATCCCTGGAGGTGGTCGGACACAATTTTGTTCTTACGTTCATATGTATGTATATTTTCCTCCGTCATCCCATCATAGTACTTGAGTGCTAGCGCTGGTTTGATACTTCCTGTGCACCCCTTCCGCAAAGCTAAACACGTCTTCTCGTCGTATATGCCAACTGCTTGTGTTAATGTTGTTTACAATACAAACCTGCGCATCTAGATGCGGCCGAGAAGGCGGCATCATGCCTGTACTGGTCACCACTCGGCACTCAGTTTGGAAATTCCCTACTGGCCCTAGGACCGCCTTGGTCAAGTTGCTATTGCTATACTGCAATACTAAAGCCTTGCTACGACCGTCTTAATGACAAGGAGCATTAGCTACTCCATAACCGCGAGATAATGCGTATAATTACGGAGAGGTCATCACCTTGGCATGCCTCTTAGGGAATGTCTTCAATACTATTTCTTGGAACCGCCCCTGTACATGCCGTGGACACCAAATTTTGGCACAATGCGTAGATAATATATTGAGAAGTATTCAGAAACTTTCTGTAAGCTGCGCTAAGCCTCTCCGAGGGAGCAAGTAAAGACTTCGATGTCGTGACTCACGCTCCCCCATCCGCCCGGATTAGATAACATAAATACGAAGAAAGCTGTCTCTTATCGATTCATATGATGGACCTTTTTTACTACGCGTTAGCTCTTGACGTCACAACTTTGCAAAGTTTTGGCCTGAACACGGCATGCTATCGGCGAGTACATCACAGATGGGATATAAAATGTAGCAGCACAGAATAATGACGATGTGACTTGGGTAACAACAATGCAGTGTGGGGATATTTCAGTTGTTCTGCATCCGGCCATCAGATGTCCTCTTTGAAAATCACGATGTTCACCATGCTTCAAAAGATGAATCCAGCTAAATTGCTTTGATGAGCCCAATCCATTTGCGCAAGTTAATTTATGTTGATTCGCATGTTGATCCTCAGATGCCCTAGTGCATGCAGTTACCTTTTTATTGCTTGTTTGCTTAGTGATTGGTGGTAATTTTTCTGAAAAAAGTGCAGCAAGTTGGAAATTATCACAGTACTGACCAGGGGCGCTTCGAAAGGCCTCAGGGACCAAGCTGTCCTCGGCCAGATTGGCTGGCATCGTCGTCATCGCAATATCGACATTTATCCGAAAATTGAAAGGACACTTTCTCTCTTCCCGGCAGAACACTTTGGACTGGCACCGTCATCTTTGTCCAGAATTACAAAGGCAGAAGAGCGTCCGTAATTCTGGTTGAATGCATTCTCGAGCGTGCAATAAGCGATTCGGCGATTAAAATAGCCACCATTCGTCTCGTCGGAAAATAGCAGAACATTCGTTCCGTCGGTCGCCGTCTGCTTGAGTCCCAACCAGCCAGCGCCGCCGAGGAAAGGCTCCCGATCTGCCCAGGCTCCGTTGGCAGTCCGGCCAGCCGCGGTTCTGGGCGCAAATGGACCGAAGCGCCCAGCTGTACCGCAATTGTGGCTACCCTCACGCACAAACCTGTCCCCCCGTATGTGTGGTGAAATCCTTACACCATGCCTTCTGCTTATCCTTGAATTTTGTTGTAAACAAGGAAGGCCGTGAGCGGCTGGTTTCCGGTAACATGAGTTCCGCGCATGACACAGCATTTGTCGTAAATACTCACATACACGCGTAAACATAAACTAAAGTATAATGCGGTCGCCCCCGCCGCTGACGCCGCCGCGCGCAGTGCAGAGGTATCAGGAGTGTCCGGCCCCGAGAGCGGCTCCGCGGCGGTGGCGGGCCTGGCGCCGTTCCGTGCAGTGCAGAGGTATCAGGAGTGTCCGTCCCCGAGAGCGGCTTCGCAGCGGTGGCGGCCCTGGCGTCGTTCCATGCAGTGCAGAGGTATCAGGAGCGTCCGACCCCGAGAGCGGCTCCGCGGCAGTGGCGGGCCTGGCGCCGTTCCGTGCTGTGCAGAGGTATCAGGAGTGTCCGACCCCGAGAGCTGCTCCGCGGCGGTGGCGGGCCTGGCGCCGTTCCGTGCAGTGCAGAGGTATCAGGACTGTCCGGCCCCGAGAGCGGCTTCGCGGCGGTGGTGGGCCTGGCGCCGTTCCGTACAGTACAGAGGTATCAGGAGTGTCCGGCTCCGAGAGCGGCTTCGCGGCGGTGACGGGCCTGGCGCCGTTCCGTACAGTACAGTGATATCAGGAGTGTCCGGCCCCGAGAGCGGCTTCGCGGCGGTGGCGGGCCTGGCGCCGTTCCGTACAGTACAGAGGTATCAGGAGTGTCCGGCCCCGAGAGCGGCTTCGCGCCGGTGGCGGGCCTGGCGCCGTTCCGTACAGTAGAGTGGCATCAGGAGTGTCCGGCCCCGAGAGCGGCTTCGCGGCGGTGGCGGGCCTGGCGCCGTTCCGTACAGTACAGTGATATCAGGAGTGTCCGGCCCCGAGAGCGGCTTTGCGGCGGTGGCGGGCCTGGCGCCGTTCCGTACAGTACAGAGGTATCAGGAGCGCCCGGCCCCGGGCGCGGCTCCCAGGCCGTGGCGACCGAGGCCGCGGCGACCGAGGCCGTGGCGACCGAGGCCGTGGCGACCGAGGCCGCGGCTCCCAGGCCGTGGCGACCGAGGCCGTGGCGACCGAGGCCGTGGCGACCGAGGCCGCGGCTCCCAGGCCGTGGCGACCGAGGCCGTGGCGACCGAGGCCGCGGCTCCCAGGCCGTGGCGACCGAGGCCGTGGCGGCCGCCCGACCTGGGCGGACCAACAAACGGTCGGCCGGCCCCCAGGATCAAGCGGCCGCAGCGGCGGCTAGCTACGCGCAACACTGACACTTATCAGTTCATCCTGCTAGAAACAGCACATCTTCTAGAGCAGCAGAACGCATGCCGGTTAAAGAGCAAAACGTATTTATATATCGTCATTGCTGCGCGACAATCTTTGCCACTGCTGGGCTCTACTGCTCAGCACATGATCATGTCACTATCACAAAGCATTCGCCATTTTTCCAAGAACCGCCGCTTATTTCGGTCGCTTCTGTAGGCTATTTTTCGTTCGGCTTGAAAGACCTGTTCTACATGCACCCGAAACGCCCTTAACGAAAAACTACCCTCTTTTCTTCGTTGCCTGTGATCACGATCCCAAAATATCTTTTAGCCCGCAATATCACGAAACTCACATCCCATGGGAAGTTCGGGTCAGCGAATACCGCAGCGCTTGCGTCCAACCTAATTCAGGCAGGCGTAACGCATCGGTTTATAGTAACAGATGTTTTGCTCCAAAAGGCACGCACGGGCTCGGAGCTGAAAAAAGTGCAGTACTGTATCATTTTCCCCACAGGACATGCATGCTGGTGATTCTATAGCGCGGCTTACGTGCAGCCATCCTTTAGTGACCATGTGCCTGTGAATTATCTGAAACTGAGGTTGTTGTACTAGGGCAGAGGCACAACAGCGATTTCAAGTTACTTTGCGAAATACTCCAAGGCTTATCGGCCCGACGCCCAGTAGTAAAACGCCTTTGTTTTCCGCATCGCAATCCCAATGCATACATTTCCTTTGAATGAAGAGCAGCAAGTGGCTTATCCCGTGACCCCGATCTAAGGGGCACTCGTACCTCTCTCGCTTCTGTAGACAGCCGTTCCAAGCTCCCGCTCACCACCAACAGTTTACGCCTGACGGGAATTGCACTAACTAAACCCTGATACCCTAAGAGACCAATCTACGATTGGGATGCTCCGCACGTAGTTTGTCGTGCGTCAAGAATCGTCCCTGTCTGACAATGATGTCATCACTGAGTTTTATGTGACACAAACTCGTGTGGTGACGGAACGCAGGCCAATTTTTATCAGGATGCGATCATTAAACCATATGATCTCGTCCCTTACTAGTTGTGCCGTGTCCGGCTCAGGCTTGAAGAATCAAGCTCGGAATCTTTGGAGTAGGCCTGAATAGAAAATACTTATTTTGTATCTAACAACCTCCTCTTCGTCAAACCCAGTCATGAATAAATGGTATATGTGTAGGAAGCGGTGACGACGTCTTTGGAAATTGAATACTTGGAATGGAATGGAATGTAGACCGTAGTAGGTGGACAATCGAGCTAAGTTCCATGGCGTTGTAAATGTAATGTACAGACGAAATTCCTAAGCCTCCCTGTTTTGCACCTACGAAGAGCATGTCACTGGCCACCTCGGGTGGTCTGCCATGCCAGATAAACTTCATGATTACAGACAATGCTCCATATAAGTATAGCTTTTGAACTGAAATAGCCATCAAATTTCCTTTAATGATTAGAAGGTCGAATATGCTTTACATAAAGTCAGGAAATTAAGATGGGTGAACATGCCCCCGATACCGTCCGCGCACACCTCAAATGAAGGTTTGGTAAGATTTTGAGCAGCTTGTGTCATCACCAGAGTTCTTGGTAAGTGCCTAATGTGTACATAAAAAGCTAAAGCACCAGCGGTCATGACTGATGCGGGATGGCGGGGGATAAGTGCGCAACTCTCGCACAACGTTTTGTGGTATTTTTTATGTCTGAGGCACTAGCGGCGCACCAGAGATGCTACGTACTTCGACTACGACGCCGAGCCATCGAATAAAATATGCATGGTACTTCTCTTAGCGTGTTCAAAGCAAAACAAAGCGAATGTAAAGCTACGTGCTGTTTTCAATATATATATATATATATATATATATATATATATATGTATGTATATATGCAAACATTTGTGTTGACTGCGCAAATATGGCTATTGCACGTGGCCTTTGACCGGACCGTTATTGCTTGCATCGGTGTCCTATGGAGCATGACGGGCTTTTTATTCATTTAATTCAAAGATGATTCCTTGTGGACCGCGGATGTGTAAATAATGTAACTAAACCACTTGCAGAGCACTTCAGACCTATGAATAGGGGCGCACCATGATAAAGGCACCATCTGCCTTGTGTCTGCGTCACACAGACACCAAGGTCACCCAGGCATCCATGCCGGCATAATAACGTCATTCAAATCTTCGTTCTGCTTGGCGTTCGTGCACACGACTTCCAGACACAGCCGCAGTTCATTGGCCTTCAATCAATGCTGTGCAAGGTGCGATGACGCAGTCGAACAATGACACATCACGGAGCATGTTCACTAAACAGGGAAATTGTGTGGTCCAGAACAGTCATTTCCACTTAAAAGCTGACAATAATTATACGTGAGCTTATTTCATCACTTGGGATTCTTGCTTCAATACTTTCAAATGTGGTACATTCCTTTAAGAGTGGAAACTTTGAAACAAGTTGCTAATGGCTTCATGGTAATCCGTCGGGAAAACGGCTAGCGGTTGAAACGAAACTGTGAAAACATCGGTCAAAATTTTAGTACCCAGCTCAAAACTGTTTCGTTCCTGGATTATTGCGGATAAAACCTTGGAGGGGGCTTGCAAAGACCCTCTTTGGCGGGTCATGGAAGCCCCCTGCCCCCCCCTCCGGCAGCAGTGCTTATGGTTAATACACAAGTGTACGGCAAGGATTAATGTATAAATATCCTAACTTGTGAATGTGGACGTAGGATTATAGAGACATTTCACTTACGCTCGACAATACTAAAAACACGGCTTCACAAAACAAAACAAAAAACACAAAAGATATAAACTGAAGCGAAGTCAGACTAAGCTGCATGTTGTAGTACTCTGCCAAAACAAAGAAATCATCTTGTAACACCGAAGAAAGGTGAACAGAGACCAGACATACCTGTATTCACCTGTTGACTTACACCGGTCAAGGTACCGGCCATTGATAGCGGACCCCGTTGAAGCTATTTGGGAAGCACTGACGTCGACTGGCAGCTGAGCGACCACGCAGTCGCGGCAAGCTAGTTATGTTTGACTGCGCTTCGCCGCTGATTGACGCTTTTGTTTCCTTTCCAGCTTGGCCGGCTGTCGGCTGTCGCTGCTCGGTCCACTCAGACCTCCGCGGCTTCAGGCCACGGGCGTGGGTGGCCGGTAGCCGTGCAGCCCGGACCGGCGCTGGTCCGGACGCGTCACGCGGCTCATCAAGACGTCAGCGCTGAGCGGTGCTGACATGCTCGGGCTGGCCGGCCGACGGATCAGCCGGAGCTGATCGGAGGCCTCGTGAGCCCCGGCTGGGGGCGGCGCAGCCGCAGTGCAGCCGCGTTATCCGACGGCACAACTCGAGCGTGGCTCAGGGACAAGCCGCTCCACGTCACAACGCGGCCGATGTCGACGGTGCATTTCTGTTGCACAAGTCTATCTGTATTAGGGAATGTTTTTACAGCCGCTACCCAGCGTCACTACGCAACATTGCGACCAGGGACAGCCGGGTGATGTGAGTGCAGGTTGAAGTCAGTTGTGATGAGCAGCGACTGTCTGTTGCACATCCGACCACTGATGAGATATCAAGCATTTCGCATGCATGCAAACTTGCGCGGTTCGCCCCTCCGCTGCGTTGACAAGCTCGACTACCTTGTTATGCCACGGCCGGCGCCAGGTAAGCAATGCACAACATCCGAGGCAACAGCCAGCTCCTCACGCCGCAGCGAAATGCCCGGGCTATGTACGGAAAATGGGGTGGCATGGTCTGATTGTGTTCGATGAAACCGGACGCCGTAGCATCACTTCTACTGCGTGTGTTGCTTGCCGGTAAACCGGACGCAGTTCCAGCGAGCCTTGCGGAGGCGTAGTTCCAGCCACCGCTGCACGCCCTCACCGCCCGAGCTCACAGGGACAAACGTGCTCCAAACGTGCTCCGACGGCTCCGTGGTGAGACGTTTTTCGAAAGAGCCCTATGGCCACCTTGTTATCGCTCAGAAGAACGATGCGTCCCGCGATACATCAGAATATGGTCACATCCCACAATCGCCCACTTAGGACATACCAGAATAAGTCACTGGCGTGTAATCATTGATCGAGCCGTCGCGACCTATTGATCCGGGGGTTGTCGTGGTTTCTTGTCAAGTGCGAAGACTGCATTCGGTCTCGAAACCTCACAACACATGCACGTAGAGTTATGAAGTCCCTTCCAACCAGACGTGAGTCTTGTCAGAACCCCGTCAGCCTTTCCCGTCAGCGATTTGTTTAGGGCTATACGCGTCACTTGGCCGTTGATTTCTCCACAGCCTGTGCTGAGGCTGCCAGAATTTCCGTTGTCGGGCGGCCGGCCGAGCCACGATTGGGGCCATTGTGCCAGCGTTGTTCAAATGGACTCACGTGTTGGACGCGCAGCGGTTGCGAACTGCAGAGAAATGCTCGTTAGCGTTGGCGCCACGAGCGCCTCATTCCGCAAGCGGTGGAACAGGGGTGTGCAAAAAGGATGTGAGGGAAGACCGTGTCCAAACCCGGCAGAGGTGATTTGTGTTGAAGTTGTTGCGGCAAACCTTCTAGTGGAAGCGATGGTAACAGATAAAGTTCCGCATACGCCCCTGCATGAGACAGTACAGAACCAGACAGCTTACACCGGTTGTTGGCAATGCGGAGAGAGACTGCTAACGTGAAATACTCTTATCGTGTGGATTTTCAAGGTGAGGACGGCTGAAACTGATGTCCGCTGTGTGAATTCTCAATGCAGGAAGGTCTTGCATACACCATGCGGTGGCTACTCAAAGGCAGAGCCGTTTAGGGCTATAGATTTTTAACTTGATAACTAGCACCCGGGGGACAGACGCATTAACTACAGGAGAACGGGTCGCTGGCACCAGAAAAATTGCCTTTTCATGTAGGCTAGGAAACACCGGGGGCCTGGAACATCGGTAACACCTGAAACAAATAGCCAGGAGCGCGGGTGGAGCGAAACCATCTTCATATAAATCCTTTCCGCGCATTAACACCGGTCGTGCTTACACAGAATATGTCACAAATGGTATCAATAAGATGGCGTTTCACCTTGGGCGCTTGAAGTAAAGTAGTCCGATATATCTGTATTAGGACAAATGTGGTACCAGTCTCTCAACGAAGGGTCTGTGACCTCTGGTCTCCGAATACAAACAATATCGAACTCCGACAGCCTGTCTCAGAGAGAATGAACGCAGTCAACGTTTCGGTAGCACACGGTACTAGCGACGAATGTTTGTTGTGTTATGATACAACCGTAGAACGAGTGCGCTGATGCACAAACGAATCACACAACATTATAACATTTGACTTGAAAAATTGATCCTTCTTGCTGCGTCGATGACGCTTTTTACCCACAGAAACATTTTGGGGTGCAATAAATGCCAACATCCAATGCATCACGGCGCGCAACATAACCATACCTTAACGCATGCTGGAGATAGGCGCGCACAGGGCACCTGTGAAGCAAAGCTAGCATGCCCATGACAACGATATTACAGCGGCAACAGCGACCGTTTCGAACCACGCCCTCGCTGCTGCCACACACCACGTCTGAACAGGGTCTTACGAAGCGCGCTGCCACACACTCAGCTCCTACCCCTACAACAGGTCCCAGCACGTCCGCAGGGATCACTAGTTGAGCACGCGAGGGCCGCCTACGGCACAGGGCAGTGTCGCCGATCAGGGGAGTTCACAGCAGCAGTGACAGCAGCAGCAGTCCGGCAGAAACCCTCCGAGTAGGCGGCCGCCCGCCTGCCGGCACAAAGGACTCTGATGAAGCCGTGCCGGTAATTGGTTCCGAGCCATTAGTCGATGCGGGCTCGGGCGAAACTTGCACACAAACTTGGCCGACTTCATCACACAAGTGCGGCGGACATCTCGTTAGCGTGCGCCCCGGCCTTATTCTGGGCAAGGGCGCCACGGTCGCGGCATCGTGTTAACAGACATCGACAGCCATTTAGAGGCTCATGGAGCTGTCGTTAGGAACTTCGTTTCGATGGCTAGCATTTTGCAAAGGTTGATATGGCGGCAATCGGATAATTTGGTTATTCGCCGGCTCAGCGTCAAGCCGAAAAGACTTCCCGCTGAGGTAACGCGCAAGCATCGGCACCGGGAGTCCATGGGAGCTTTTGTATCGCTTGCTGCTACCGAATGGAAATCTGTAGGCAGCAAGGAAGCAGCGCAAAACTATATAAGAAAACTTATGATGATGCTTTAGATCACGTCTAACCATGACATTTCAGGTCCGCTTCCTTGGCAGTGTTAAACAACAGTGCAGAATCGGTTAGACGCATATTGCGGTGATCAACATTGAACACGTGGGTCCTTCGGCTCATCATAAAGGCATAAAACGCAAAGTACAAGACATATTTGAGTACTATATCATGCACTCAAGTGAAATACATATATAAATCCCGAGCTAAACCATATGCCTACTTATGGTTTTTTGTTGGCATTTTCGTGAGTATGTACCACATACGCAATTTCCTCCAAGGGATCAGTCCGTTGCCCAGTCCCTCCTCCTCCCCCAAGCTAGTGATCCAGCCCGCAAAAGCCTGGTGTGCTTTAGTGGTGACCTTGCATTAACCCGCAAACACCAAGTTATTGCATTATGTACTTGATCATTTAACCTTAATTTTAGACCTGTGCAATTCATTGTGCATAAAATTGCATATCAGTATCGTCTAATACTGGCGCAATTATTTATATGCGACAGTACTTGAATGGCAAAAACTAATACGCGACAACAGTACTACACGACACAACTTATACTTTGAAAACTTACATCCGTTATTAGCTATACTGCGAAACCTTAACAACCATTGCTTATACACGGCACGGCCATTGCTTATACATCTACTTCAAAGACCTATACGTTTCACTGGTACCACACGACGAAACTAATAACACTACACATTGTTTATGTTACGTGACTGTCGATTTGTGGTGCTTGGTGGATGAGCGAGGGCTGAGGTTTGGAAGGCAAAATATCAGCGACGGGTATGACTTTTTGAGTAGAAGTAATGCCGTTTTTCAGTGAACACTTTATCAAGACTGTAGTTTTGTTTTCAGTCAGGGACCCCATCATCCCCCAATTTTTATAGGAAAGTGTCACATTCGGGGAAAACGCTATATTGCAGGTATTTTGGAGCAGGTTTTTGGCCGTTTTCCCCTGCTGCACCCCAAACGTGATGGTAACACTACGACAGCACACCACATCTATTTCAGTAGAAAAATGCCGCGTAGAATAATTGTCGGGACTGTCGATCACAACACATACAATAACGCATCGACACCATAAAATGGGCACCCGCAGCAGGCTGGGCAAAATATGGGCTAGAGTCCTGATGGCTGTAATCAAAGGATTGGATCTCACTGCACAAATGTTGCACGAGATTTGGCCACCAAATTGCACGACACCCGAAATCGAGCACAAGAGTCAAGAAATCCTTCTAAATAGACTTTAAAAGCTAAATAATGCCGCTTGAACGTTCAATTTCACGGATTTCAGGTAAAATCAGTTGATTAGAAATTTGGGCTAAAATATACCAAGTCTTTGTGTTTATTCATGTACATTTTTTTGGGTTTCGTACAGCGGAGATAAAAGTATATTTTCCATCCTTTTTGATAATAATTAAAAATACCATCTATGGCCTGAATATAAACCAATTTCTCCACAACATAATCCGTTTGCAAACTTCCACATATTTCATACATACACCGGATTAAGTCGCAAGTCAGCCAAACGCGTGCTGTATGCGGCCCAGGTTACACAGTTACCAGCGAATGAAGGAGACGATATGAAACAAGGAAATTGTTTTTACCGCTGTGCTTGCCTGGTTCAGACGTTTTTGGTTTATGGTGTGGCTCAAAAATGATGAATCCGAGCCATTCAAGCTCTACTACCTCACAAGTTAAATCATGCTGCGTCCTTAGCTTTGGGACAGAACTGGTGCAGCTAATCAAAAAGTTTCGTCATCATGATTCTGCCTTCTAGGACTGCTTTGCCACGTGTTAAGTGCAGAGCTCCTCTTACTTATTTCACATTTCATTGTTGTACATTGGTGGCTATGATTAGCTGCATATTTTGTTCGTAGGTTGGATGACCTTTCCTGCTAGCAAACCAGGCGAATTACGCTGACTTTATTTGGGGAGCCTGTGCTTAAAAAGGCACCAATTTTCTGCTTTGAGGCACATAATTGGCAGCATAACGTACCATCGAAGCGTTATTTATAACCGTATTTCACCATTTTTTGTTATATAGCTTACGAATTTTGTTCATCAGGCAAATTATGATGGCCCAAGTTATTTAATTAAAACATTTGGTCGCATAATCTTGATCCTTCGCCTGGATTTTTTTTAAAGTGGTCCCTCACGTTTTCCCCTACAGCATCTTGTCTTCAGCCGTCATAGTTTGCTGACTGTCATACCATTGTATTGTGAATATGTAGTATATCTTAATATAGGAATACTCTAAGCTGTATGACCGTCACAAAATAAGTTAGACGTGGTCATAAAATAGACAGGCCATCCCATTTTTAATGTAAGCGAGCATTGCAAACTTACGTGATGAACCAAATATTGATGGATGTCCTTGCTGCTTCTTAAAAGGTAAGCACTAAAGCGATTTCATGACTACCCATAAACTGTTATGCTTGGGAGACAGAGATGGTTTTATGTCGCATGACCATTATTACCCTCGACAGAGGGTAACCATGGAAATCAGAATACATTGTTCAAAATGAGGTATATAATTCATAAGCAATCCTGGCATCTAAGCTGACTCCTGGATTTCAATTTGTGTGGTGTCACTTTTAATCTGACACAAATCAACTACCCAAAAACACAACTTGAAACCAGCCAAAAGTCAGCTTTATTAAGTTGCTATCACAAACTCTGTTGCCAAGAACTTGATTACGTGGGTTGAGATAATGTCCAAGATATGGGTTACTTAAAGTTTGGTTAAGTTGGTTGCTTGCATGGTAAGCAAAAATACATTTTGTCAGAATCAGTGACTGACGACTGCTGCTGTCATATAAATAGGTGAAACAGGGTGAGATGAGACACGGGTTACTAAGGTTAGGTTACGTTAGGTTACTGTAATGTTCGGTGCGCTAACACAGGTTCATTACTTCATGCTTAAATCAAACAATTATTTGCAATAATGTCAACCAAAGGAACTCGGCACACAGCCCGCAACAGCCACACAGCCAGCCGCGCCGCACCACACAGGCAAGGACACGCACGAAGGCCGTCCGCCCACACACCAACTCCGAAGCGGTGACATGACCAAACACAGGTTTCTGTAACTTCCGCTAGGCGGCCGAACAACTTCGGTTTAACGTCAACTACGGAACAAACTTGCAAAACACCTGAACACTATAGCTTCTTTCATGGAAGTTGAAGCAAGCGTTTTTCCAGAAACAGTGATATAATGTTTCGTGGTCAAATCTCAAAGAAAGCCAACAAACTGTCTCACTTTTTGGTTGATTGGCTGATGTGTTGAGGTGCAGGAGTTCAGGACTTCTTTTGTTTGAACGCTTCTTGCTTGTGAAATTTCGTTGCATGTCTCTCAATTCCAAACCAAACCCTCAAGGAACATGTGAAATCTTATGCAATGTATTATTTTTTATTTCAGCACGCATTTTTTATACCAGCTCAGTAAATAAGTAAGTCGTCGACTCTCACCGGTTGCAGCGGTTCTCACTTGTCCCGTGCCCTCCACAGTCGTACCTCGTTGGTTGCGGCAGCAAACTCTGCCATCTACATGCATCCATCACTGGTTACTCTCAACTTTTTACCGCTAGGCTGCAGCTCTTCCTGAAGACGCTGTAACACGTCTACGGAACGCAGCGAATTACACCATCTAAGTATATACAGCGTTAGGCGTGGCACGATCTTGCAGCATGTGCAATGAGATAGCCTAAGTTAGGGGGTGTGTTCTTAGCTCAATGTGGTACGTGAGAGGGAGAGCGGGCGAGAAAGGGATATAAAGCTGAGTTGTTTGAGAAATAGAAGTTGCCACGTTTTGGTGTTTTGCCGGATAGAATGCAGTGCATTACAGAGTATTGGGAGTGAGGAAACAGGCCATTCCGTTAAAATTCGCGAAAAGCCATCATCGAATACATACTCAGATGCGCTAACCCTTAATGAGCAAACGACCGTCGCATCAAAATATGATAAACAATGCATGCATCTATTTTCTCAGTACGTCTACCTCCCTGTACGTACGTCAGTAGGCCCCTGGACGTATCCTTTCACAAACGAGGATACACCCTTCGACCATATGGAGCGGCCATCGGGTAAGGAATGCACGTATTGCCAGCATTGGGTGTTTTAATACACATCGCGGTTTTTACTACATAGTATCGAACGTCTTTGCTCAATGCCGCACTACCTTCTTTACACATGCCACATAGGCATACAGTATAGTTCGGTACAGGCCACTGACAGATACTTCTGGCGGACATCCACACACGAGATGAGGCGGACGCACCAGAAGTGCTCGGCTCCACTCATCCTATATTATGCGGAACCATTGCACGGGTGACCTGCTGATGCCCAACAAGAATACAATTCAATACCCGATCACATGTGATCGCAAGATGCTGAACTTATAGCTCGATGCAGTTTTCAGGAACACGTCATTGGTTTCGTTCAATCCGCACCCGGAAGGTCAGGATCTTCGATGACAATGGAGGCATTGACCGAGCTATGTTCTGCCAAGAACTGACGTAGTTTAGTGGAGGAGT